CACCCAGAGCCTTCAGCATTTCCGGGCGGATCTCATCCACCCCCGGGGCTTTGCCACTGTGGAGTTGTTTGACGACCTCAGTGACCTCCCCCCGGGAGATTGGTGTTGATCCCCCGTCATACTCCAGCTCTGCCTCTAACATAGAGGGCGGAGTTGTCGGGTTCAGGAGTTCCTCAAAGTGTTCCTTCCAACGCCCTAACACTCCATCAGTTGAGGTCAACAACGTCCCATCCTTACTGTACACAGCTTGGATGGTTCCCTGCTTCCCCCTCCTGAGGTGTCGGACAGTTTTCCAGAACAACTTTGGTGCCGCCCGAAAGTCCTTCTCCATGTCTTCTCCGAACTTCTCCCACACCCGCTGCTTTGCCTCGGCCACGGATGAGGCTGCTGCCCTTCGGGCCTGTCGGTACCTTGCAACTGCCTCGGGAGTCCCCCGGGATAACAAATCCCTGAAGGCCTCCTTCTTCAGTCGGACGGCTTCCCTGACCACCGGTGTCCACCAGGAGGTTCGAGGGTTACCGCCCCTTGAGGCACCTAGGACCTTGAGACCACAGCTCCCCGCCGCGGCTTCGGCAATAGAGGCTTTGAACACCGACCACTCTGGTTCAATGTCCCCAACCTCCACAGGAATGCCCGAAAAGCTCCGCCGGAGGTGTGAGTTGAAGGCCTCCTGAACTTGGGCCTCCTCCAGACGTTCCCAGTTCACCCGAACTACACGTTTGGGCTTACCAGGTCTATCCAGAGGCTTCCCTCGCCACTCGACCCAACTCACCACCAGATGGTGATCAGTTGACAACTCCGCCCCTCTCTTTACCCGAGTGTCCAAAACATACGGCCTCAGGTCCGATGATACGATAACGAAATCGATCATGGACCTTCTGCCTAGGGTGCTCTGGTACCACGTACACTTATGAGCATCCTTATGTTCGAACATGGTGTTTGTTATGGCCAATCCATGACTAGCACAGAAGTCCAGTAACAAACCACCACTCCGGTTCAGATCAGGGGGGCCGTTCCTCCCAATCACGCCCCTCCAAGTGTCTCCATCATTGCCCACATGTGCGTTGAAGTCTCCCAGCAAGATTAAAGAGTCCCCTTCAGGAGCCCCATACAGGACTCTTTCCAGGGTCTCCAAGAAGGCCGTATACTCTGAACTGCTGTTGGGTGCATAAGCACACACAACAGTCAGAGTTTTCCCCCCCATAACCCGCAGGCGTAGGGAGGCGACCCTCTCGTCCACTGGGGTAAACTCCAACAACGAAGCACCTAACCGGGGACTTGTGAGTATCCCCACACCCGCCCGGCGCCTCACACCTTGAGCAACTCCGGAGAAGAATAGAGTCCAACCCCTATCCAGAAGTAAGGTTCCAGAGCCGACGCTGTGCGTAGAGGTGAGCCCAACCAGATCCAACTGGTAACGCTCCACCTCCCGCACAAGCTCCGGCTCCTTCCCCCCCCAGAGAGGTGACGTTCCACGTCCCCAAAGCCAGCTTCTGTCGCCCGGGTCTGGTCCGTCGAGACCCTCCGCTTTCCACTGCCACCCTTCTGGCAGCGCACCCGACCCCATTGATGTTTCCCGTAGGTGGTGGGCCCGCGGGACGGAGAAGCGGAGGTGTTGCCCACGTTGCCTTTTCGGGCTGGGCCCGGCCGGGCTCCGTGGCAAGCCCGGCCACCAGACTGTGTGTATGAAACTAAAACGGAGCATTTTCTGTCAGCTCAGATTTTATTTCTGCTTTTTTAAACGGTAGTGTGTGCTCATGTGTTGAAAGGCAGGTTTTCCTATGAATGAAATCTTTGAGCAGAGGACATGTTTTTGTATCCTAAATATCTTGTTTTTTTCTTTTCCAAGGTCACATTGTTTCGTTGTGTCATTATACACTTCAGTAAAAATCATCTTATTAATATTTATTTTCTCTTGGATTTATTTGAATTGCATTTCCTATTGAGGTAATCCAAAAGTAACTCAGTACTCAGATTACGTTACATTCTTTTACAGGTAACTAGTCATTGTAACAGATTACATTTTAAAGTATGACTTCCAACCCTTGGCTTTACACAATAAAGCCAATAAAAGCCTTTAAGAAAGAATATTGTAAGATCTCTCAGATACTTCCTTCAGCTATTTTCTCTCGTCTCTTTGCCTGGAGTGGAACATATTATTTCATCATTGTCTGGGTCTCTTTTATTTGTATTGTGTCCGTTTTTATTCACTTGTCATAAATGTCCATTTGCTGTAAATTCACATTTTAACAAGGCAGTCAGTTCCTGTTTTGAAAGCGTGGGTGAAAATGTATGACTTTGAAATATAAATCCTCTTTCCAGAGTTATATTATTATTATCTGTGTTATATATTAGATGACGACAGCTGATCTTGATTAACACACAATAACTATTTGAAATGAGGTTTCGCTGTATTATTTGGAGTAAAGTCAGCCTTCTTTGAGGAGATAGTATCAGCATAGAGTCAAAAAATTGAATGTGCCTTATGATGAGGAAGCAGCCTCACACACACACACACACACACACACACACACACACACACACACACACACACACACTGCACACACACTAGCCTGTCCTTAAAAGCAGCCTGGCGTGTGAGTGAATGAGAGAGTTCCTCCCTGTAATCCCCCCAGACCTCCTTCTGAGGGCTGCATTTGCACGCTCATGCTCCCCGGGGGGTCACACACTCGCACACATGCCAACACACACACTCACAGACACACAAAAAAGTTAAATAAAAAAATTCTACTTTTGCAGAGTTCTACTTTTTTGTAATAATCGCCGAGACAGAATTATTTCTGACAAGCACTCGTGCATCAGCAGTTTATATATTCAGCTTTAGAAAAACATCAAATCCTCACTTTATTTGATTTCTTACCACCTAACTGCAAAACCCATAAAGTGCTTGAGCTTTAGAAATAAAAACAAAAACATAGTAATGTCCTGATCTGACCCGAGACACACACACACACACACACACACACACACACACACACACACACAGTTCACACTGTATACAAATCACTCATACACACAATAAGGCAGTGTTTGGGGGGAGGCTGGTTTCTATACACATATCAACATTTAAAAGTAATGTAACCTGTTTACTTTCCGTTACTTTACTTTATTACCTCAATATCAAATGCAATGCAGATGAACACAAGAGAAAATAAATATCTATAAGATGTTTTTTAATGAAGTGTATAATGACAGCAGAGCAATGTGAGCGAAAAGAAGAAACCGAGATATTTAGGATAGAAAATGTCCATATTATATTAGGCTAGGACTATGTAGGTTCGTATTTATATTTACTGTGACTGTGCCTTCACATGCTTTTATGTTCAAAAAGGTATTTATTTTTCTCATCGAGAAATGTTGTTCTGCATGTATTGAAATGTTGTGTGCGTGCATACGCCTGCATATATTCATTGAGATCTCCTTCAAAAGAGTGTATTTTTCACCAACTCTTACTGTATAAATATAAATAGTAAACGTAGTTCCTTAACTTGTCTCTGGCAGGATTAGGCTGCTTCAAAGCTTATCAGCTGGACCAGCTGCTGATATTAGACAAAGATAGACAAATCAATGAAATCCACCCTTTCTCCGAATCTCAACTCCATCTTTCTTTTTCCTGAGGATATGTTTTTTCGCTTCCTCTTTCCCCAGAGACTGTAGTAGTTTTAAAAAAAAATGATGTATGCAACCTGACATGCTGAGAGGATCTTCAAATAGAAAAAAGCATGTGTAAATATTATCAGAGCTTCTCGCATCGTGACAGATTAAGATGTGATGTTGGCTTACTTACTTATTCAACTGCTGCTTGGTAAAAATGCTTAATGTAATCTTGTGTGTGTGTGTGTGTGTGTGTGTGTGTGTGTGTGTGTGTGTGTGTGTGTGTGTGTGTGTGTGTGTGTGTGTGTGTGTGTGTGTGTGTGTGTGTGTGTGTGTGTGTGTGTGTGTGTGTGTGTGTGTGTGTGTGTGTGTGTGTGTGTGTGTGTGTGTGTGTGTGTGTGTGTGTGTGTGTGTCCTAGCATTACTATACTTGTGGGGACCTAAATCTGTCTACACAGTCACGTGTGGGGACTCGCCTCCCTTATGGGGACAAATTGGAGGTCCCCATGAGGGGGATCATTAATTTTAGGGTGAAGACTTGGTAAGGGTTAGGATTAGGCATGTGTTGGTTATGGTTAAGGTTAGGATAAGTCTCCAGGAAATGCATGTAAATCAATGTAATGTCCCCTGAAGTGATGTATACATGGTATGTGTGTGTGTGTGTGTGTGTGTGTGTGTGTGTGTGTGTGTGTGTGTGTGTGTGTGTGTGTGTGTGTGTGTGTGTGTGTGTGTGAGCGCCTTTACACTTATTTTACCCGCTGAATGTGAATACTCATATCTCATGCCATGTCACTGCATGTTATCTTTTGTTTTTAAAGACGTGTTCAAGCCTTTTTAGCACATGTGGATTTGTTGTGGTTTTTTTTGTGCATTTCCTCCAGAAGCTAAAGCAGCCAGTGTGTGTGAACATGTGATCTGATCTCATATGGGCATCTTAAGGCATTCACACTGAGCAGTAATGGTTTTAGGAACAGATGGAAGGAAGACTGTTGACAGCTGCTGAATCACGTCGGAGAATGAGTTTTTTGGTCCTTGGGCAGTTACTATGAAAACATGGTTTCACATCTTGCTCTTTACTTCTCTGTGTGTGTGTGTGTGGTGTGTGTGTGTGTGTGTGTGTGTGTGTGTGTGTGTGTGTGTGTGTGTGGTGTGTGTGGTGTGTGGTGTGTGTGTGTTGTGTGTGTGTGTGTGTGTGTGTGTGTGTGTGTGTGTGTGTGTGTGGGTGTGTGTGTGTGTGTGTGTGGTGTGTGTGTGTGTGTGTGTGTGTGTGGTGTGTGTGTGTGTGTGTGTGTGTGTGTGTGTGTGTGTGTGTGTGTGTGTGTGTGGGTGTGTGTGTGTGTGTGTGTGTGGTGTGTGTGTGTGTGTGTGTGTGTGTGTGTTTACAGAGAGATGCTGATAAAGTCCCATAGCCACAGCCCTGACCCAAGATGGAGGAAGACTGCAGACAGCAATAAAGTCAGGGGTAAATCATCACCAATATTTGTAATGTAATGTGGAATCAACATGGATGCCTAAAAGAGTGTATGATCATGTATATATAGTAATTGGTTCATATATGTATTTAGTTCCTCTACTGGGACATGTCTCCATGCTCTAATGTTCAAAAAGCTCTTTGTTTGTCTCATACTGCCTGTGCTGCAGCACCTCTTTTCGCCCTCTGTCTGAAACCAGAGCCCAGTCTGCTCTCATTGGTTAGCTGGCCAGCTCTGTTGTGATTGGTCCACCGCTTAGAACCTCTAAGCGATGTCTCACCCCTTAGCCGTTGATGTCCCTGTTTTTTTTTACATGCACAAAAACCTATACAACACACTACAGGACAGGGAAACACCACAAAAAGCAGAATAGGGCCTCTTTAAAAAGTGAATTTCGTAGGCCTTCAGGTGAAATTCCTAGTTGGGAACTCTTTTTATGATTGCGAGCAGTCTTTTTTTATCTAACTGTAAGGGAATACAGTTACTTTTTTCTCTAAATCCTGATAACGTTATACGTAATCCTGTCTCATGTAATCTGTCACTCCCCAAACCTGAATTAAACACTGGAAACACACACTCAAGTTAGCAACCAGACTTATCTCCACACTTTGTTTCAGTCTGGCCGATGGCGGGCTTATACACACAGTTTACATCCTGGGAGTCAGATTAGTATCTGCCCAAAAAAGAAATTGCCTGCTAATTTGAATTTTGTCCAACATTACAGGAATGGTACTCAGTGCAGCTGAATCATCTAAAAGATAATACGACGCAGACATCCTTATAATTAACTAAAGCTTTCACCAGAGTTACTAGATGTTGCTTTAAATGGTCTATAGATGTAATGTTGTTTTAATTATGTTTGATGAGCTCAAACAAATCAAAACATTGCTCATAGCCACTTTGGGTGTGTTAGCGTGTGACTGTCAGACATTTAGTTCCAGTCTGTTGGAGTAAATAGGACGGCGTCCAAGTCATTGTCACAGTTCAGAGGAGTTTAACAGGGAGGATCCCAACACACACACACACACACACACACACACACACACACACACACACACACACACACACACACACACACACACACACACACACACAATGTGGAGAAGATTATGAGGCTCCACCAGTCTGTTTGACAGCAGATAAAGTAAACACGCACACACACAAACACACTAAACCAATTTGTGTTTTATTAGGCAAACGGGTTAAATGTCTCTTGTCTGCCTGTCTGGCTTCATAGTGACTTAGAAGTGTCACAACAAAAAGACAAAAAACGAACAATAAAGCAAATGATGAAACTTTCGGTTTTAACTAAAAAAGTGTTAGTTGTTCCGGTTTAGCACTAGCTGATTGTAACACTGAATATTATTTGGGATCATTCACAGCTACACTGTGCCAATGGATTGGCATTACAGTAACACATCCATCCTTTGTTAGTGGCTGGAAGGATGAAATATGAAGATTGCCCAAGATCTCATAGGAGGACCTTTTTTATAACTCTGCAGTATCTCTGCTATGTCAAAACTATAAAAGTACACACTAACTATAACAAGCTTGCTAGTGAATCAGTTAAGCTGGCTAGCGAACATTAACTAGATATCAAACTAGCTAGCTATCGTTAGCTATTTACTTAACCAGCTAGCTAGCTCACGTTAGCTTTCTACCTTAAAATCTAGCTAACGTTCGCCAAATATCTGATTACTTAGCAACCTATCCAACAAGCAAACAGAATGAGTTGAATACAACATCTTTGAACATAGTTAAGAAGAATATTTTTATCTTTTGGAAAACAGTCCAATCATAAAAAATATTACAAAATAACTTCTACAGGTGCAACTAACCACTGTCCCAAGACTTTTCCAATATTTATTATCTTACTGAAGTAAAAGTACCAAAGTATTGGGGTCAAAATATACATTAAGTACCAAAAGTAAGTGTTATGCTTAATGTCCCATTTCAGAATAATATAGGCTATATAAGATTATTGGATTATGATTATTGATGCATTCATTTTTTTATTGTGGACACAACAAGGATAGGAATCTGTGATACTATTACGGCTAAATTATCACTTCATTATATGGTTCTCTTAAACTCAGGCCTAAAAGTCTGTTTGAGAACTGTATTTCAGTTGACATACACTTCGTCTTAACCACTGACCAAATGATGCTGCAAAAACACATTTGAACCCAGAAATTAGTCACAGAATCCCACTGTGTCATTATGCATTTATGGTCACAGTGAAAGAGAAAATGTAACATAACATTACAGAGAATTATGTTCAGCTTTTTATTGTTTTCCTGACCCCATATTGTGCCAAATGTACTTTAAATGCCACATGCCAGCTGAACCGGCTTGGGAAGTAGTGGATTACATGTAACGGGATTACGTAATACAATAAAGGTATCTGTATTCCCTTAAAGTTACATTTAAAAAATCGGATTACTGTTACGTCTCTTGACATTGGGAATTACTTGCAGGACCCCCAACCCTGCAGATGAGCACACACACACTAACATACACTACACATTGAAAACTGATGTATGCACATTGTTCCCACACACGTCCATATGGGTTATTGTTCGTTATGGGCTTCCTGGTTTATATACCCATGGACAGGAAGTGGTGACTTTTTAAATACAAATGGCAGCTGTGTACATACATACGCACACTCTCACACACTAACGGATACACACAGACAAACCATCCAAGCTTCTCACACGTAAACTCAACCCAGCAAAGAGGAAGTGGTGTTTTCTCATTTCATCCAACACACGCAATTCTCTCAAACTGTAACCATCACTCACACACGCACAGGCTGAAATATGCACTTTTTCACATGCCAATCCTCTGACACCCACAACCACTGTCTTGTCACACATAATTGCACACACAGATAAACATACACACCCTCAATGATCCTATGGCACTGAGGCTCAGTCTGATGTTCCAAAAACAAAGGTAGCCTTGGCCAAGCTGGACAAAAAATATGTCACATGCAACATCAGCCCCATTCTTTCAACAGCCAAATCTGGAGCTTTATGTCCCTGATAATTCAATTTCTGACTGCTGGAGTGCGATGACAAGGCCAATCACACACAGCTGTCCTTTTCACACTCTGTGAGAAAGCTTTGCACAACCACAGTCCTCTCATATATAGTATCAAAGGGTGAATACATTCTTTCTCTAGCTCGAACCAGCAATATTAAAGCAACATGGAACAATAACTTAGCACATGTGTCAAACTCAAGGCCCGGGGGCCAAATCCCGGCCCGCAGGATAATTTCTAATTACTATTAGATCTGGCCCGCCGGTATATTGCACGCACACCTTCACTCCATCCTGAGGATTTCCTCAGCTCAGAGCCTGAGCCCAAACATTGATGACCTTGCACCCGAGATGAGATGCCAAGTATCTGGCTTGAACTAGCATCACAGAGCAGCACACTGAGTTTAATGGATGTTTCCTGTTTTTTCTTTGAGGGAAATAGTTTTGTTGAAGCTGTTGTTGGCCTGTGGGAAAATGTAATCATATAAAATTACTCTGGAAAATCTGCAGATAGAGCCATAAGAAATTAATGCAGCTGATTATTTAATATTTAATGTTGTTTTTATTGGCAATAATTGAAGCTTAGTTAGTTCCAGGTTTAATATGTGCAATAAGTTCATTTCAATAAGTTCTGCAATAAACATTGAACCAGTCCGGCCCTCGACTAGTACCCATTTTTTTATTTTGGCCCACTGTGTATTTGAGTTTGACCCCCCTGGGCTAGAGCCTGAAATGTAAGATATTTAAAGAAGCGTAATTTCTTTTTAAAGAGTAAGATTACAATGCCAAATAGGTAAAATGTTTTCTTGAGACACATTTCAAGTGTTTTTGTACCAAGCTGTTTTAAGGGGTTTGTGGGAAGGAAAACTCCATCTAGAGTGAACTTTAGGATATTGGCCTTGCAGACCATTTACATGCACAAAAACCTATATAACACACTACAGGAAAGGGAAAACCCCAAAAAGCATGTCATAGTAGACGCACAAAATACAAATGTGAACCTGAAAATGAGCATTAGATGTCCTTTTTTAATGATGGACTGAGAGATTAGCTATAGCTTCATTAGAGACTCGTTTTACTCAGTGTTGTGAGACTCGTGAAGTGTTGTAATGCACATGCTTCATGTTATATCGTTTTTAATAAGTGTATTGTAATAATCCTGCTAATAAGGGATTACAGTTAAAACATTTTGTCTCCTGAGTATGTAATCCATTACTCCCCTAAATGGGGCAAAGCCTGCGAGCTAGTTCAGGCAGTCAACTCGAGCACCAATGATACATTAACACGTGACGCACCTCGTCCCTCTTACAACCAACCAAACACATTCTCCTAAACATGCCGCTCTATTGAAGCTGCCAGGTCTTCCTGCCTCTGCCTCGCTGTGCTGCCACTGCTGTGTTCACTTGCTATTGCTGCGTTCATGTTCCTACTGCTGTGTTCACTTGCTATTGCTATGTTCATGTTCCTGCTGCTGTGTTTCATGTTGCTGCTGCTCGCCTGCCCCACCACCACCCCAGCTTCCACCTGTAGGCTCGGGGGATAGTTATCTAATCATCACTCAATGTTCTTTGTAAATCTGTGGAGTGATGAGGCCCGAGCCTAGACGCCAAACTCAAACTATATGCTGCTTATAATAAACATATTAAGGAACACGTGAGTTGTCTGACTGAAATGTATTTGATGTGGTCAATAGCCTTGTCATTACATAGTCTTAGAGTGATATGTCCTTTGTCTTTGTAGCTGGCTGCAGCCCTAGAAGACCAGAAGACCCAGAATGCATTGCACCTGAATGAGCAGATGAAGGAGTTTCTGAGGGACGCGCAGTTGGAGCTGACCATTGAGAGGGAGAAGAACCAACTGCTGCTCCTACAGCACCAGCGGGAAAACACACAGCTGCATCAAAAGGTGCCTGTTCATTATTACTGAAAATATAAATGACAACTGAACACAACACAATGAGTTATATATTATTATTTATTTATATACATTTTTCCATGCCCTCCTCACCAGATTTCCTGTCATACCCCCCTTTCTATTTTAAATCTTCATGACCGTTTTTTAAAAAGTAATCAGACGAGATGACATGAAGATAAATGTGGTTGCAGAGATTTGGACAGACCATGTGCGTCACTCAGTTTATTGATTCTTTTTGTGCTTTTCACTTTATTATCCTCCCTTCCGCTTTTGTAGCTTCACTTCCCTCTGTGTGAAGTCTCTCTGCTTTCCAGGAGCTTTCCACTTTATTTCTGCATGCGATGCTACTGTCTTTTTTATCTAATTATGCATATATGCCATTTATTCCCTTAAATGCATCATTGGACACACTATGATAAATCACTACTGCTACTACTGCTGCCTCTGTGTGTACTGAGGGGATAGAGAAGGAGAGGAAAGACAGAGGGACAGCCATTAAATCCAGACAGTGGGGGGTGAGACAACAGAAACAATGACACATCAGGTGAATTGGCTTCCTGCTGTTTCACACACACACACACACGCAGAAATACAGTATAACAAACCAAAGAAGATTTGAAACACTTCAATAACATAAAGGTCACCTATCATGCTATTTTTAGGCAATAGTCTCAGATATATAAAAATATATAAAAAACATGTCTATGAAGTGTTTTGCTCAAAATACCAAACAGATCACCCATTCTAGCCATGCCTCATATCCCTCTATTTCACTTCCTGTTTCAAAAGTGCTGATTTGGGGTATAAAGCATGAAAAAATAAAAGAGGAGGGGGCTGAGCTCATGCGGACCCGGCAGCTACTGTCTAAACTAAATGCTGCCGTGATGAAACGCCATATCATGGATTATCAAGGATTCTCTCTGAAACAGTATGGAGCTCAAAGGCTTTCTCTCTTGCCGGTTATACCACAAGGTGAGTTCCTTTTTATTTCCTGCTTCTTCACACACATGCTCTCCAGTACAGGTTAGCTCTGAGTGTTAGCGATGCTAATGTAAACATGCACCGACCATATTACGTCCAAAACAGTCGGGCATTGTTTCTGATAGCAACGTTTCTGATAGGGCCGTGGGTGTAAAGCCAGCCTACATTTCAGTTATTACGTCATATCGGACGCAAATCTGGATCAGCTCCGTTGTAGCCCCGTTTTAGAGATTTGGGTACGGAGGAAAAGAGAGAGGGTTTTATTTTATGACGCTGCGTGAGTTCCCTGACACACCGGGGACACATGTTTATGTATAAAAGACATCAAAAAGTGCATTTTGCATGATAGGTCCCCTTTATATAACAACATCACTTTCTTCCGTAGTGTTGTCAAATTGGGACCTACCCTTTAGCTTCTACTAAGTCTCGCACTGCATGTTTTATTCTTACACACTTCCTGTGCGAAATCCAGACAAGGTAACATAAAACAATTTGGTCCCAAAACATAACACAAAACTCCTAGAAGTCCAGTAACATTTATGCCATCTTGATTTGTAATCTTAGCTGCAGATATGACTGAGTCAGAGAAAAACAGATTGCTGAAAAGTATCATTATTGTGGTATTTATGATATGACGATGAATAGAATCAATGAATGAATGAAGAAAGAACAGATTCAAAGCCTTACTATTGTTTCTTTTTGACAAAAAAAACCCCATTAACAGTTAAATTAAGTAAGTAAGTTTTCTGATTTTAAAATGTCCCCTACAGTTGGAGGAGAGAGAGCAGGAGCTACAAGAACTGCAGGACGAGCTGAAGGAGGAGAGGAAGAGCCGAGAGGAGGAGAAACTCCAGGAAATGCAGCACTCCCAACAGCAGGAGGCGCTACAGCTGAGCCGAGCTGAAGCTGAACTACAGCTGCTGACGGAGAGGAACGCTGAACTTCAAGAAGAGGTGTGTGTGAGGCCCAATTCCATCCCTAATAACCAGGACGTTATTAAACCCTCAAACAGGACGTTATTAAACCCTCCAACAGGACGTTATTAAACCCTCCAATAGGACGTTATTAAACCCTCCAATAGGACGTTATTAAACCCTCCAACAGGACGTTATTAAACCCTCCAATAGGACGTTATTAAACCCTCCAACAGGACGTTATTAAACCCTCCAACAGGACGTTATTAAACCCTCCAATAGGACGTTATTAAACCCTCCAATAGGACGTTATTAAACCCTCAAATAGGACGTTATTAAACCCTCAAATAGGACGTTATTAAACCCTCCAACAGGACGTTATTAAACCCTCCAAAATAAGTTATTAAACCCTCCAACAGGACGTTATTAAACCCTCCAAAATAAGTTATTAAACCCTCCAAAATAAGTTATTAAACCCTCCAAAATAAGTTATTAAACCCTCCAAAATAAGTTATTAAACCCTCCAAAATAAGTTATTATACCCTCCAAAATAAGTTATTAAACCCTCCAAAATAAGTTATTAAACCTTCCAACAGGACGTTATTAAACCCTCAAACAGGGAGTTATTAAACCCTCCAAAATAAGTTATTAAACCCTCAAATAGGGAGTTATTAAACCCTCCAAAATAAGTTATTAAACTCTCAAACAGGAAGTTAATGAATCCCTCCACAGGAAGTTATAAAACCCTAAAACAGGAAGTTATAAAAACCCCCAACAGGAAGTTATTCAACCCTAAAACAGTAAGTTATTAAACCCTTCAACAGGAAGTTAATTAATCCTCCAATATGAAGTCCTTCAACAGGAAGTTATTAAACCAGCGAGTTATCAACAGCATCAGCGCTTATTAACCAGCTTCTCTACCTGAAGTGCAACGCTGTTTGTGGCACTCATGAAACACGATGTCTTCAAATAATTCCTTACAAACATTCACTAGTGAACTTCGCAAAATAAGACAAACATTTAATAATGTCCTACTGATGTTTACAGCTTAAAGGTTACATTGTATTTTATTTGAATTACGATCATATAACTGCATCTAGTCTAGAGAACTGTAAAGATGTGCATTTGATCGTAGAGTTTTGTATATTTACAGAAACAAAAACCAAGCAGCTCATAAATGTCAGATCTGAAAACGAAAAGGGGTGACGTTAAACTGACCTTAACAACGGTCTGTTCTCCTTAGCAACGGTCTGTTAGCAAAGATGATCAGCCTCTGGAATGTCCAAATTGACCAATCAGAATCGAGTATTCAACTGAACCGTTGCCTGAGTGATCCTTATTCTCCCCGGTTATGAAAAGTTACAATACTTCCTGTTTCCGACAGAGAGGGGGGAGTTCGTCCCAAAGCTTGCTACTGTATTTACACCCTCCACCTCAAAGATAGCAACCTCCTTCAGCTGTTCGTGTCAGTTTATAACATGGAGTTCACTCTGTCACTGAGTGGGTATGGGTGGGTTTGGATTGGGCCTAAATCAGTGTCTCTGTACATGTGAGAACAAAGACAGATTTGTGTTGAAATGTATTCTATTGGTGTGTTGCTGTGCCAACGCGTCTCAAACAGAGCTTGATTAAATGTAGTGAGAGTGTGTGTGGTTGTGAGAGTGTGGTCGCAGCGAGAGGGATTGAGTGATAGAGTTGAAATGGGGGAGAGATAGAGACAGACAGAGTTAATATTTGTTTTGGCAGCTGAGTGTGCAGTGATGGATGTCTGTGCCAGCAGCATCCAAATGGAGCTGAAATAAATTGTGAAACAAAAAAGTGATAAGAGCGAGGCAGCAAATAGGAGGAAGACGGGTGAGACGGCTGAAGGAAGGATGGAAAAGAGAGTGTGTGGGTGAATGAAAGAGAGTGGAAAAAAGCTAATTATGAACAAAGAGGGAACAGGAAGGAGAGCATCCTAAAATGACTTTGCTAGGCTTTTTCTGTGTGTTTGTACCCCAGTCTTTGTGTGTTAACACATGAGTGCCTGTCCCAGCTGTTTGACCACTAACACACAGATACACACAGAAACACACACTATCTGAAAGCAAATCCTAATTAACTGTATCCTGCCGATCCTGCCTCTTTACTTCATAATAACTGCTAGAATCCACTTCAAGACACTGGTACTTGCTTACCATGCTGCGAATGGATCTGGCCCTTCCTACATCCAGGACATGGTTAAACCGTACACCCCAGCGCGTGCACTCCGCTCTGCATCAGCCAAACGACTCGCTGCGCCCTCGCTGCGAGGGGGTCCCAAGTTCCCATCAGCAAAAACGTGGGTTTGCTGTCCTGGCTCCAAAATGGTGGAATGAGCTCCCCATTGACATCAGGACAGCAGATAGCTTACACACCTTCCGGCGCAGACTGAAAACTCATCTCTTTCGACTCCACTTCGAGCGATAGATTTATTAACAAAGCACTTTTATACTAATAAAGGACTGGCTTATCTAAAGCCAGTTGAGTAGCACTTGAAATGTTTGGCTCTATGAAACCTGATGTACTTATATGATTCTGTTTTCTTCAAGGTTGTGTCTTCCTGGTCGAATGTACTTATTGTAAGTCGCTTTGGATAAAAGCGTCAGCTAAATGTAATGTAATGTAATGTAATGTAATGTAATGTAATAATAAGGGAACATGTTGACACCCAAACCCTCTCACACTACACATAGAAATGTAATCCGTTGTTGATTTAATAAGCTTGAAAAGGGATGAATTAGTATTTTTCTCCTTTAAGTTTTTGTTAGTTTTCGATGTCAAGATAAAGTACTTATTACTATCCTCAACTTCTAAAGAAAACGAAAAAGGTTGTGCTGTACCATGCAGTAGAAAAACCACATCCTGTTCTCCCACTGTCTCTTGAACTTCTCCCACTGCCTGTCCACATACTGTAGAGTTCAGCAGGTTCAAGGTGACCTGGTGCCAACTTCACAGCTGACATGTTCTTTCATGTCATTCATAGACCTTCAGTACAGCAGCTCCTCCCCCCCCCCCACCCCTCCTCTCTATTCCTTCACATCTCATTTAAAAGATACATTTTTACTGTGCTGTGTCTTCACAGAGCAGATCAATCAGTGTTATCTCTGATTTCTCCTTCTGTCTTTCTTTCCGTCTTGCCTTTAGAACGCTGTCTTTCAGTTCTGTCTTTAATGATCTCTCTCAGTTTTTATCTAATTCAAACTCAAGCTTCTATCACCCTGTTCTCAAGAAAAGATGTATTGATCTTTTGATGTGTGTGCATTTGTGTGTTGGTTCGAGATAATCAGGTTTTGATCATGACCTTGTGATATCTATCGCTCAGTTGCCAGGATACTGCAGCAATGTCAAGGCATTTTTATCATTAAGTGGTAAGGGTATCAGCCAAATCAATTTTTCAAGATCAAATAATTGAAAGACTAATTTTTCATGTCACAAAAATCTCCTCAAAAGACATTTTAATGAGGCCATATTAAGCGTATGGGGCAGACTGGGCTCTGGTTTAGGACAGAGGGTGAAAAAAGGAGGCTCACACAGGCAGTATGAGAAAAATAAAGAGCTTTTTGAACATCAAAGCATGAAAATATGTCACAGTAGATGCACATAATATGAATATGAACCTGAAAATAAGCAGAACATGAAATGCAGACTTTTATATTTTATTATCAGTGCTACTTTACAGTGTCTTTAGTACCTACATCTAGTCATTCAATGACTGACACAACGCAGAGATTAGGTTTGAAATAAAAATAAAAAGTGTAATCGTACACAACCAAACACACTGATGATTCTCCATTCAGTCTGATCCCTCTCCTCCGTCACTGCTTTCCTTTTTAATTTCCCTCCGCCCCACCCTTACTCTTTCTCTCTTTTAGTTTCTTTATGTTGTTTCTCTGTGTCTGCCTCCTCTCTCTCTGTCTGGTCCTGTCTCCCCCCTCCTCCCCTCCCTCTCTCTCTGCCTTTGTTGCAGTTGAACCAGGACAAGAGGAAAGGTCAGTGTGTCTGGGGGAAAAGACGCCTGACCTTTAACCTCCCATTAAAAGCACTGCGGTCATATGACACATGCAAGGTCACAAAGTACTGTGTGTGGCCCTCTTATTGCAAGCCTAGAAGCATCTACCGTACAATTTAGTGTGTGTGTGTGTGTGTGTGTGTGTGTGTGTGTGTGTGTGTGTGTGTGTGTGTGTGTGTGTGTGTGTGTGTGTGTGTGTGTGTGTGTGTGTGTGTGTGTGTGTGTGTGTGTGTGTGTGTGTGTGTGTGTGTGTGTGTGTGTGTGTGTGTGTGTGTGTGTGTGTGTGTGTGTGTGTGTGTGTTGCCACTGGAATGTGGTTTACAGAGTTAGATTAAAAGCAGGGGCTCTGTGGGTCTGCTGCGTGTGACTTCTATCTAATAGCCCTGTAATCCTGCTCTCACTGGGAGCCCCTAATGATGGCTGTCTTTCTCGAGACTGGCATGCAACACACACACACACACACACACACACACACACACGCACACACACGCAGGATCTAACACATGCCTGCATATAAACAGGGAGGAAGGAGCCTTGCACTCCGAGCCTTGCACACAGAAAAGGAAGTCTGCAAACACGTGTGTGCAAACGGTCACACACACACTCTCACTGTAATTGCATACAGCGGTATAAGGCGTGACACGCTGCGCATGGAACATATGATATAGTGGGCACCCATTAACATGTACACATATGTCGACAATTACACACACATAAAAGAAAACCATACGCCAAATATGAGCAGGAGTAAACACACATTTACTGTATGTTTTTCAGCACGCACACATGATAGAGCTATATTTACACAGTCAAGTTCCCAGTGTTCCTCCAACACTCATACAGTGTTTAGCACCTGGCAGAAGAGAGATCCATATTTTTGAAACCCGTAGAAACACACACACAACGCCCATTAAAGCAACATGTGTTTTGGATCATCCCTGAGCCTGTAATCATCCGGCATGACAGCTACACACAGGGAGCTGTTCTCACTGTCACATCTCAGATAAACGCCAAATTACTGGTGAAAACCAATGCACTGCTGAACGCTGAGTGCCTGTCCAGAATAGTAAAGCTCACAAATTATAAGGGCCCATGCTGTGCTTAAGAACACTTTATTTTAGTTTCATCTTTACTGACCTAGCTACTCTTTTTGTAGGCCGACCTGGAAGTTAGCAACACAAGGGCTATGATTTTACTGATCATACATATGGCGCATTTCCACTGCAGGGCCTCGCACGGCTTAGTACGGTATAGTTAGGCCTTGTTAGGCCAGGCTCACTTTATGCTGCGTTTCCATTACAGTTTAGTTGCTGGGGCAGTAACTATAGTAACGCAGTGTAGGCGGAGCCATGACGTCATCTTCAAAGGAAACACAAAACCAACATCAGCCGTTAGCTCTTAGCACTCAGAGCTCACAGCTCCTCATATCTGTTCAGAAACTAGACAAAAGTTAAACAAGTACAAACCACAGACTGTCTGTGTCATGGCGAATACAGTTGCTGGTTTATTTATGTCTGTATAGGCCGTTGTTGTGAGTGTGGACGGTCGGAGCATATACTGCGTTAGCTTTGCCCATTCAGAAAACACGCATTTTAAAAGGTTTCTCGCCTGCCGTCTTGTCTGCAGACTTGTCAAAGCATTAATTCAAAGCATTAATTCATGGTTTTTACTAACCGGTATCCGTATGTTGTTACCTCGGCATCATTTTGAAACGTGTATTACAATTAAATCGCATACTCAGCCCGGTTGTTGGCCCAGAAAGAACCACGATTTTGGAGAGCCAGAAAAACTATGAAAAAGTACCCGTTAGCCGGAACTACCCCTAGTGGAAACGCAACAAAAAACGGGCCGGGTTTGGCACAGCACGCTTAAACAGTGGAATTGCGCCAATAGATGCACCTTAGTACAATTCTCAATACCTACCGTACTTTTACTTGAATGGAGTATTTTAACAGGGTCGTATTGGTACTATTACTTAAGTAAAAGATCTGAATACTTCGACCACTGACTCTAGCCAACCCACAAAAAACTGACTACAAGATGTACTCAAATGTTAGTGCAAATGCGCTGAACAAGTGAGAAGTTTTATGATACAGTATGCCCCCTTTAAAATTATATTATGTGCCAAATGTTTGAGCTAATGACTTGATTTGCAGAGTGTCAGATACTGTATTGGTTGCCCATTCAGACTGCCAACCTGAATCTGCCTGAAACTATCGATACGTTCCTGTTCAATTCTAGTATTTTAAAGTCTCACTAGACCATTTTGGGTTGCATGCAGCACAAGTCTGTTATCAAACAGCAGATGGTCCAAATGATTTAAAGTATTCAAATGGCACGTGTTTATAATTAACTGAGCCAGTGAGCAGTGTTTATGGCTGTGCGCCATCTTGGTAGGACATGCATGTAAAGTGATGAGAGAGATACGAAGGGCCACTTTATCTCAATACTTGAAGTGAGCCGCTTTCCTTTTCTCTGTCTGACTGTCACATAAGAGGAGCTGCAGTTGTTTTAAACTCGATTTCATTCAGTGAGCAAGGCTTTAATTGTCAGTACACCTGGAGATTGAAGCAATATAATGCATGACATGTTTATCTCTCAGCTCCAGCTATTTTAGAAAGGAAAGCACATGTTCTACGACGTTGAATACTTTAGTAAATACCCCACAGGTGAATGTCTGAAACTTCTCTGTCATAAAAACGGAGGTTTCTAAATGAGACGACTAAACGTCCTCACGCCAAACATTAGCCGCCTTTAGATTAGCGGTGGTAACGGGAAGTCATGTGACCTATCATTAGCTTTATCTGCCGATTGCATTTACGCTTCAAAAATCACAGAGTGGTGTTAATATGTGGAGATTATCCTGATGAGCAAAACGTGTAAGTATCATAAACATGTGTGCCACAGAGCTTTTTTCCAATGGAAAAATGCCATTACTTTTTGTCGAAGGAGCCTTTTATAATACTAACTTCAGAAGTACATCATCCCTTCACCACTCTATGTGCTTATTTCCCAAACCAATTACCCATTTCTTTAGACTGACAATAGCAGAAGTTGCCTGCTTTCACCTTAAAGGAATTGTATTATTGTGTTAGTAAGGTTTAATACACTAGATGACTTGCTGAAATACTACTCTCTAATGACCCTCCAGGTGGCGTTACTCCAGGAGACGGTGAGCAGGGAATGTGAGGAGAGGGGGGGGCTGACGGCTGCTCTGTCTGAAGCTCAGGAGGAGCTCCTGGGGCTGCGATCCCCAGCGTCTCATCAGCACTCCCCCAGATCTCACCTCACAGGGAGACTGTCTCCCCCGGGGTGCAGGCAGAGTCAGACCCGGGTGGCTCCTAATCGCTCTTTGAACTCCCCAAACACACTGCGACCCCCCCCCTGCCGTCACAGACAAAGAGACAGGCCGGGGCACGGATAGAGGAGGGGCGGAGAGGAGCTTTCCATGTTGGAAAAGTGGTGGGGAAAAAAGACGGGAGGGGACGCTGCCCAGACTGAAGCCAGCAGCACAGTGAAGTCAGAATATAGGACATTAAAACATAAGGTCAGTTTAGAGAGGGAGAGGAAGGTGGAAAACAGGGGAATAAATGAAGGACTGTATGTGATTTAAATAGCTTTTCAAATAAAACACAATTGTAATGTTGTTTTGAAGTTTTATTTTGAAAGTATTTTCATATTATTGCTGTATTTTAACTGTGTTTTTATTCTTCCCTTAGAATTGAATAAAGCATGTAATTTAGGCAAATATCTACAGTTGCTGACAACGCGCTACAACGGCCCAAAACACTTCCAATAGCAGAAACACGCTGCAGCTTCAGAAACGATGCAAATATAAAAACAGAAATGTGCCAGAACACATGCAAATGAAAAACATCTTCACCAACCATAAATATCCCTCTGAATGCCTACTCTGAAAGTCACACACACACGCAAATCATATCTACGCATAAACACACACTTTAACCCACTACTGGTAAACTCCCCTGACACACACTCTCTGACAGACATGCACTTGTTTTCTCACAACCTCCACTCACGCAGTCTCAGTGGCACGCACAGGATCCCACAGACACACGTGTACACACACACACAGCTATGTCACAAGGGCAGGGCAGAAGGAGCATGACAGTACGTCCCCTGCTGCCACCCGTGGACACAAACAAAAGACAGGCAAACACAAAGAAACTGTAAGGCAAGCACCTCCACACACACACACACACACACACACACCTCAGGCATTGTGTGTTATTGACATCATTCACTCCGTGCAAGGTCTTTCCATTCCTCTCTTCCTCTCCCTCTACATTTGGGATGAATTGGCATGATGGGAGAAATGCGTGAAGTGTGTGTTCAGCATGGAACTCATTTCCCCGCTCCCTGGCACACATGGAAAGCTTTTACTTTGACTTCCTCATGTCCCCCTGCTTCCAACCCATCTGTGGGACAATGAGTGCAGAAAGGTGGGGCGATAATGATTTTATCCTGCCAACGTTTCCTGTTTTGCCAAAACACACACATATGGTTTACCTGCTTAAAAACCTAGAGAGGAATATCAAACAATCAACATGCGGCGCCATTCAAATCCAATGTTCTACTTGGAACATTTGGAAACATGTCAGTTTTTTCCTCACTGTCAGTTATTTGCTGATAAATGTGCTTTTTGATCAGTTACATTCCTAATAAATCTCTCAATTAACAAACCCTAGCCACGCATTTCTGGAGAAAAAAATAACAACACAGGTGGCATTTAAGTGTGCTTTGCAGCTGACATCTTGTTGCCTTCCTGTGTTTCACTGTGTGATTGTGTGTGGCCTTGTGTGTGTTTACTCAATGCACGAGACGTTGCCATGTGTGTGTGTCCAATGAGTGATTATTTCCGTCCTCACAGCACCACATCGCTCACTTTTAACAATCAAGTCACGTCACTGAAGGACATCGATTATGTGGGCATCACAATGTAGTGTGTGTGTGTGTGTGTGTGTGTGTGTGTGTGTGTGTGTGTGTGTGTGTGTGTGTGTGTGTGTGTGTGTGTGTGTGTGTGTGTGTGTGTGTGTGTGTGTGTGTGTCCATAATAAAGGAAGACATTGGATGAAGGTGAGTGTTTGAATTTCCTAGTATAAGGGAGGTTAGTTTTCAATTTAATTTACTGTACCAAAAGTAAATTGTTCTCATTACTTGAATATAAATGGAGTTATTTTACTAGCACTTGTTCATATTACACAATAAGAAGAACAAACTGAGCTGGAGAGTTTATTCTTGACCTTCGTAACAGCATATGACAAAATAAGAATGCAGAGGTTGACTTACTATCTTGTTCTGAAGCTTTTGACCACATCACATGCTCTTCATCAGCAGATGAAGTACGCTCAGTTGTCGTTTAGCTGTTAGTGGATGGTGTTTTTTAAACCTTATTGAAAGTACTTTTCGTCCATTCTTGTCTTAGGAAACCGCAAAAAAATAATTAAAGCTAGGGTCGGATATAACTATATATATTTTACAAAGATTTTTGGTATTTGGTCAAATACATGACATCCTTACGGCAGCCAATAAATCCAATGATCTGACAAAAAAGGTGGTGAATGGTCTGCAAAGGCTCAAATCCTTGTGTTCCCACCAGGAGTTACTCTCCCATACGGAGGGTGAAAAGAGGTGCTGCACAGGCAGTATGAGAAAAATAAAGAGCTTTTTGAACATTAAAGCATGGAGACATGTCACAGTTGAGGCACACAATGTAAATATGAACCTGAACATCAGCATAATGGGGCCCTTAAAATAGAATAGATCTATCATTGATGTTGCCACTTGCCAGCATCTGTTTCAGACACATGCTGACCTTCTGACAGCTCCTCACATTCTCCCAGCACATGAACCTCTGACCGATGATCTTTCCTTTTATACTTCCTCTCACCGTGACCTGCATTTCTGCTGTGTGTTTGAAGAGATAACCTCTTCCTATACCGTTGAGAGGCATTAACACACTCTGCCTGCTCATACTCTGCACATCAGTGTGTATGCTCTGACCACACACGCAAACCCCCTTCTCTCTCCATAAATCTGCCTCTTTGTCAATATTATTTTAATCTCTTTGGCCTTCTTTTATTATTCCACCTCTCTGACCCTGTAGCTGGAAAGGAATTCCCCCACAGCCTCTCCTCCTCAGCTTGATGCTCCTTCACTTTTGATTCAGTCATCTCTCTCTGTTCTCCCCCCTTCTTCTCTTTTTTCTGGAGCTTTTTCCTTTGCTCGTGCCCTTGCGTTGTAGCCCTTGACCAGGGGGGTATACTACGAAGCAGGATTTTCGCTTAGCCGGCTAAATTCAGGGGAAACTCCGGCTTTCTGGTCCTACGAATGTGGTTCTCTTTTTAGCAGGCTAGATCTCCATGGTAACTTATGCTTAGCGGCTAACCTGGTCGGGACCAGGTTAGGTTGCAGGCTAAGAGCTCAACTCAGTGAAAGCACTGCCTGCTGACCAATCAGAGCTCAGTGTGCGGAGTTTAAAGTGATCAAGTCATATTACAGGAGAAAGGAAATACAGAAAAACTGCCGTCGCAGGAAAGACGGCCGGCAAAAATCACCGACTGTGTGAACGTGAACATTAATAGAATATCACCTCCCATCTTCAGAGCAATCTGACTATTATAACATTAGCGTTAAGAAAGCTTACTTAAATATCTGCCACAACATAAGTAACCGGATCAAAGTAGCCTAACATTAAGTACAGTCCGCGGCATATCACTTCATAATGTATCATATATTTATTTATCTGACTCAGCTTTTTGAGCCGTGTCTGGCCGTGCAACACTCACAGTGTCACATAGCCTACTGTATGCAGAAGTATTATTTTAAGCAACACGTTAAGTTGACGAAACACTCGAGTCAAATGTAATTAAAGTCAGATCGTGTTTTAGACGGGGCAGTGATATCATAAACCTGTTAAAGTACGCATTCAAACACTTTTTCTTTTGCCAGCTGTATTCACCTTGCAGGTGCAGCTATGTGGCTTTTATCCTGGATAAAGTGTTTAAGTCATGGATGTTTAAAGTTTAACTTCTTCATTTTTGACTAGTATTAAAGTTGACTTTTCATTCAGGAAGTGTGACGCTGCGCTGTCAGTACGCTTCTCCATGTTTGTGATTGGTCGAATGCTCCAGATACCACCCCTTTCATGTGAACGCGCACCTAACTAGATAGGACACGGCTGGCTTGAGCAATCCACTTGATAACCCGCGTCGTAGTACCGTTTAGCGAGAGCGCGTATGTTTTGTATTAGGCCAACCGGCTAACTCAAACATATCCAGGTTAGGTTGAACCAGCTTCGTAGTATATGCCCCTGGTGTCCTTCCTGGTGTGTGTGTGTGTGTGTGTGTGTGTGTGGTGTGTGTGTGTGTGTGTGTGTGTGTGTGTGTGTGTGTGTGTGTGTGTGTGTGTGTGTGTGTGTGTGTGTGTGTGTGTGTGTGTGTGTGTGTGTGTGTGTGTGTGTGTGTGTGTGTGTGTGTGTGTGTGTGTGTGTGTGTGTGTGTGTGTGTGTGTGTGTGTGTGTGTGTGTGTGTGTGTGTGTGTCAGTGTTTTTTGAGGAAAAAGCGAAAATACTCATCCAATAGGACAGTAACAACTCATCTGTGTACTACCAATGCCAAGAGATTTTGGTCTATATCTTCCACAGTATTGCTGTGTTTAACAAATATAGGTTATAGAGTGGTGCAGCAATGAGTCCTAAATCCCTGAAATTACTTATGCTGCGTTCACACCGGACGCGATGCGAATATTCGCTTCGCTCTAAACCAGGGGTGCCCAACCTTTTTTGAACCGAGAGCTACTTTTAAAGTTGCCAGTCTGCCGAGATCTACCAGTCCAAATAGACGGGCGTAGCCATTACTGACAGCCTACAACCAGGTAAATACACACTTCTACTTGTATAAAACTGACCTTTGTACGATTAACACTTCATAAAATACTGCAGATCCTTTATCTTACCTCTTTCTAATCTACACACATACAAGTATTTAACTGAAGTTACACAACAATGTTGTTGATACAGAGTTGGAGTGTATTCACACGTCACATACTACAGTGGGTAATGTTTTCAAGAAACATTGCACAGTGCTGCCACATATGACACAGGGAAAAAGAAAAGACTCTGAACCCTTTCTTTGCCATTATATAAAAATAGTGTTGCTACAAAAGTATAAATTAGGCTTACTAATAAGACAACTCAGATCTGAAGCTACACAGGAATCTGCTGCAACAGTGCAATAAAAAAGACAAAATTAATAGAATCAAACCCTTTTTTTGTTGCATTTTAGTAAATTATAAAAAGAAATGCCTTTAAAATAGGATGCAAGCAACACTAGTTTCTTAACCTGAATTGATAATAGACTATAATCAATTTAAGTTTGCATTCTTATACCATTTTGTACAATAATTATAATGAATAAGTTCAAACAAACTCAAACTTACAGCTGATTAATAACGGTATCTAACTTCAGTTTTTATCATATCAAAAACCTGTTGAAATGCTACTGTTATTTTTATTATGCATCGGCAGCCTCCAGGAATGCTTCTTTCACAACTTCGCCGTCTTTGAAAGACTTCATGTGTTTCTCAAGAACGTGACTGACACGATAAGATGCTCTGGTAGCAGCC